TGTAAAAATCATCGGAGATGCCAAATATCCTTGACAGGAAAACTGTCACTAATGGATCCCCTGCTCTGTCCACCTGTGCAGTAAATACCTTGGAGGATAGAAAGATGGATAAAGTATGTAGTAAAGGCAGTCATTAGCCAGGAGCATAGACAAAAATAAACATATAAAGCCATCACAGAAAAGAATAGCAGTGATAATAATAGTTCAATGGTTGCCTGAGGCTTCAACGTATACAGAAAACCATTGAGAAAAATATATGCACCCATATGATGTAAGACATTTCTACCCATCCAGTTTCAAATCATTTCTAGAGTTTGTTTATATCTAAGAATTTATTTAACTCCAAATGAATTAGTTTTATTATCACCCGAGGGACTATTGAAAGCAAATAGTCCTTAGGCATGAGCCCAGTAAAAAGAGCACACTGATAAATTTTTCTGGTCCTATGGCACAGCTCCTCTATCTGTATCATATCCCTTCTGCACCAAAATAGGTAAATCATACGTATTTTGGATATTGAGGCAGAGCAATTTCATATGAAGGCATTTGTCTTTTCATAAATGCTGTATTTATTTGCACAACCTGTTTGATGAGCATACTTAGAATACAATAGGCTACAGTGGTATTTGCTTAATGACAGTTACAAATGTTCAAGGATAAACTCTAATCTGATGACTCTGCTTCATGCATAACTCTTACAGTGCTATAATATATAATAACATCAAAGGATAGTACAGTATTGTACAGTACAGTAAGTAGTGTATAAACAAGGTATACTGTAAAAAACACATTGAGACTCTATCAAAAAACTGTGCAGCACTATACAAAGATGGTTGTAAATCCAAGCAGTGGATCTGAAGTCCGAACAGCAGGCCTCAGTCATAATTCTAAAGAGTCATTAAGCAAGGAATATGTGTTTCTGTCTGCTAAGGGAAAGACTGTAAATTTTCTTACAATCTATTTTCAATAAAAGGGAAGAAGGGAAAAGATTGTATGTATATACATATACATATATATGTGTTCAGGTGTATATAGAAATACATACATATGTACAAGATACAGAATTATACTATTACTCTCTGAAATTCATCAATTGTGCTTTCATTTCTTGATTTTTCAATCATTTTTGTGCCTAAATCTTGTAATCTGAACAACTATTTCTAAAGTAACAATATGCAATATATTAACTACTGTTAATTTCCTACTAATTTTTGAAATTCTGTATAATTTCTATCCCTTTTTTATTTAGTATTGTTTTTAAAATTAAAGAAAAAAGAATACTTTGTTTTCACAATATAGGTAGGAGAGCACGTTGATCAGCCATCTGAACCTGGTAAACAAAAATGAAACACCTCACTCCTTCAAAAATGTAGCAAACAGATCAAGAAAAACTTCACTTTGTGATCACTGACTTCACACATTCAGTCAGTTATGACGTATGAATAATTATTGAATTTTTCTCCAGCGCCAGAGAGTCATCTGTAAAATCTTTGTATGTCTGCATTATAGATTTATTGGAACCATCAAGTAGTGATAGCTAAAACCAGGAAGAAATATATAAATAAAAAGGGAACAAGATAAGTCAAAAGCATAAATATCATGAGTTGTTTAATATGCAAATAAGAGACTGTATGTTACAGCCATCCTTGAGCCATATGTTAGCCAATAAAAAAGCAATTAATTCTATGATAATTCCTTTGAGACACAAATGGGTGTCAAATGATTTTCATAATATCATAGGAAGAAAATATATTTAACTTAACATACATTAATTTTAATTTTCTCATAATCTACATATTAATTGTACAATAAATATGTTTATTTTTAAAAAACAATACATTAAAGAGAGTTAGTATCCTTTCACTGACTTCATTCATTCCTACTATCGTGAATATTAGCAGCCTAATGCATGTAATTTTCCAATCATCCTTCAGTTTCATAAATGTATGTACTTTAATTAACTTTTTTTATACTGAGGATTGGTTCCAGAGGCATTACACTGTCTCGATCTCCAGCAATTTTTTTACTTATTTTTTTTACAAAATACTGATCTCTATAGTCTTCCCATATGCAATCATTCGATGAATCCATCTGATACATATATATATATATATATATATATAATGATATATATATATCATATGTATATATATGACATATACTGTTAATGATATATACTGTAGTAATTTTGTTGTTGCTTAGGTAATACTTTGTATAATTTCAGCTATTTTAAATTGTTAAAGTTTATTTTGTGACCTACAATGTTTCATCTTTTCCTGAAAGAAACTTTGGTTGTCATGAGTTGCTGGACTTTTCCATCCATATAAATTATGTCAATCTATTGATAAATGATAATGTTCTTCTAAAGCTTTAGTGTCCACCTATCTATTTACATTGCTCGTTTATGAAAGAGTGTTGAAATCTCCAGGTAAAATTAAGAGCTTGTCTGTTTAACCTTTCAGTTTCTTTAGACTTCTTTCCACTTAGGTGTTTTGAGACTTATTTTAGATACATTACAGATTCAGAGACATTGTGTCTGCTTATTGAATTTTTTTATCATTATGTAATGTTTCATTTCATCCTGGTTACATTCCTTATTCTGAAGTCAGATTTATAATTTATATGTTCAGCCTGGATTTCTTTTCATTAGTGCTTTCATGAAACCTTGTTCCAACCTTTTTATTTCTACTTAATATGTCTTTTTTTTAAAGACTTTTGCTTGAGGAAAACATTTTTTGCTTTCTTTAATCCAATCATACATTTATTGCACTTTCCCCTACATGTTCAGATACTTATATTTAATTATTGATATAATTTAGTTACAATCTACTTTCCAGTTGATTTACATATTATTTTATCCCTGCTATTTTTCTCTCTTACAGTGTCTTGTTTTGGAACAATTACAATTATGCTTGTCTGTACCTGAGTTTATTTGTATTTTTAAAAAGTCCTAATGTTTGCCATAGGATTTAAACAAATCATAGTATCAATTTTTCACACTGAACCTTTAAGTATTTTTGCATTTATGTATATAAATATAAGGATGTACAACTTCCAATTTATCTGTGATTCTGTGCTTTTTGACCTGTGTTGCACTTTTGTATATCTATAAAACAGTATATTATTAATAATTTTCAGTTAGACATTAAATTATGTTCAAACTATTTGAAATAGAAATTTAAATTTTTATCTTCAATGTTGCTATTTCTAGAAGGTATTTTGCAAATTATTTTTCAAAGGACAAAGTTTCTGCCAGAATATGTATTCTACCCAGAAGCAGCTTTTGAAACAGTATTATGTCTCAAGCTTGCTTTTATTTCTAAAAAGAACATCACTTCTTTCTCTTTCAAGAATTTTTGGTTGAGAGCCTTATTTTCCTTCAGCATGGAATCCTTGTCCCTCTCCCATTTTGACTTACATGTTTTCATCTCTGCTGTGTTCTAACATTACTCCTCTAGAATATGTATCTTACTTCTTGAATTTTTATTCCTATGAGTGGCTTTGATTAATTTGACTGTAATATGTCCATGTTCTTTTTATTTGTGTTTTCAATTGATTGATTATCCTCTTTGGTGTCCTCTAAGATTCTTATCTGTGGTTTGATATGTTTCATTAATTTTGGAGATTTCACATTAATCTACTAAACATTTTCTCTGCCCCATTTCCATTCTCTCTTCTCTTTATATAATTTAATTTCTGTACAGCTATTTGGTAATTTCCCATATCCATGATAATTTCCTTGAATTTTTCCCCTTCCCTTTTTTTCTTTCTTCACAATCCCACATCTCTGTTAGTTGTAAGAATCCTCTAAGATTCACAATATGCTCTCAGGGACAGACTTTTTAAAAGTCTTCTCTTTCCTCTCAGAAGATCAGATCCTTACCTGTTTCTACACAGTGGCCCAATGCATTGCTCTTTCTTGGGAATTCTAGGCTCTGCTCCATGAACCATACTGAGGAGACAGCATACCCGCTCACAGAGACTTCTGCTCCGCTGGAGCTTCCTGGGCTCTTTTCCTTTCTTATCTTTCTGGAGCTCATTCCCTGAGGCCTGTGGGAATGTGGTATTAAATGGGGATGGTTTGTGGTTTATTTTCTTTTACTGTGTTGGGAATCTACACTCCACCGTTAGCAATTTGACAAGAAATTTATCTGAGTTCATAGTAGCTTAATAGAATGGGTATTTGTCATGGTTAAGGACATCCCTTGGCTTTTTGGGGGTACGTGTCTTTTTTAAGATTCTGGGTCCTTTGTTAATTGTTTCAAAACACCGATGTTCCGTCTGATGCTCTTCCTCATTGAGCCCCGAGTTGTCTGTCACTTGTCTGTAATTACCCATGTTGAGTTTTGGAGCTTTAATACAAACCCAATTCATCATTTCCGTACAGCCACTTCCATCCCATGCTCCCTACAGCCTCCCATTCTCAAGCATCTGTGATTGTGAAATTTCCTTGAAGGAAGCATAAACAGAAAAATATGTAATATGTGAGATTTGTCCCTTCTCTGGTCAACATGTCTGTATGAAATATCGCAATCATCAGAGTACCACAAAGACACACGGTATTAATGAGGTTATTAGTTATTATCTGTTAACTTTGTTTTTGTGAAATTGGCATAATTATTTGAATTTATTGTTATTGAATGGTAATATAACAAAAATATGTAATAATAATCTAATGATTTATCATGATATATTGTTTATTCAGTAAAAGCTTCAATAATAATATGTAAATAATACATGATTATAACAGAAACAGCTATTGGAAGAATCACTAATTGTTACCTGAATGATTTCTAGCTAATTTTTCCTCATAAAAGTCCTAAAAGTAACTATTACTGTATGCACTTGACTTTGGAACAAATTACTCAAGATGTATTTAAGCCCTATTTATAGGACTACCCAATAGGAAGGCTATACTAACTACATCTCTGTTGTTTTATTTTGCTTTCTGATGACATTAGCTTTCATTCTAGCTAATTGTTTTCTTTCTTTGCCTGTAGGATTTGATACAAGCATTTTACCTATTTGCAAGGATTCACTGGGTTGGATGTTTAATAGACTTGATACAAACTATGACCTACTGCTGGACCAGTCAGAGCTTGGAAGCATTTACCTTGATAAGAATGAACAATGTACCAAGGCATTCTTCAATTCTTGTGACACATACAAGGACAGTTTGATATCAAACAATGAATGGTGCTACTGCTTCCAGAGACAGCAAGGTAAAAGATGAGATACCTATAGGTGCAAGTAGTTGACCTGGATTTCAAATCTTATCTATTCCTTTATATAAAAGAACAGAGGATGCTATGTCTCATTCCTGTTGAGAATTTTTTCTAAACTTATTTTTTAATAGAATCTCAAATAGGAAGCCTATTGAAAAAATAACTCTGATAAAGATGCAAACTTGCTAAAGAAAATGAAAATACTAATTAATACTTAATTTAATGTACTTCATTATAGTTTCCATTATGAACCAGCAAGAAGCACACGTAGATAGAACAGAGATATTAAAAGTAGTCATTAAAATTAATTTGCTATGTGCTTTGCCCATGGTGTAAAATAAATGGGATTTTTATCACTATATTGTGGAGTATTAATGTGATCTTATTAAATGAGCTGAATGAACCTCAGAATTCACCATAAAGTTATTTTTACTCATTTTATTTTAAAATGATTTAGTCTTTCAACCTTTTCAAATAGCTTAGTTTTAAAAGAGTCATTGGCAAAGAAAGTATAATTACAATGAAGTTTTCATGAGGAATTCTGAGTATCTTTAGAATAAAATAATTAAAAACATACATATTGAGTCATTCCCTATATAGCCTAATTTTATCTTTTATTTTATTTTTGTTTTTATTGTTATACGTCTGCAAGAAGAAAACTTGGAATGATAGTGGATCTTTACATAACTCTCGTTAAGTTAGGAAATGTACATTCCTAATGTCAATTGTTAAATGTAAATGTGTGCACAATTGGAATTAATTGAATTATAGTTTATATTTAAAATATATAAGGAAATGTAGCTAAAAGACTCACATTATAATGAAGTTTGGTGCAATTAAGGAAACAATGTTGCATTTGATTTTGATTTACTTTGAAAAAACTGGAAGTTAGTTGGTGTGGTACACTCATTACTGTCACCACCACTTTTTGTCAACACTTTTTATCTGTACATTTGCAGCACATGATCATTACATTGTTGTGGAGCACTGGTGCATGTACATAACACATCATTATTTTATTTGAGGAAAAAAAGACACAAAAAAAAAGAAAAAGAAAAAGAGACTAACAGCAACAATAAACCTCAAATAATAACAGTATTGGTTTTTGAAACAAGATGATAGGAATTTACCAATGCTTGTAATATCACGTATTTCCAGCCTTCAAAAGCTTGCTTAGATTGGCAGATAGAAATATGTAAAATTGATCAAATCATGTAAGTATTAATTGTTCTTTTCCAAGAACTAATACAATTGGCAGTGAGGTCATCTTAGTCATCTTATGTCTATATATACAAAAGACATAAAAACACCTCTTAATTCCCTTCTCTCCTACTCCTCACATCCCTCCCTGTGCCTTGAAACTCTGCTTCCTCTTTTTATTCGCAAATGCTGTGTCCACTTTTTCCATTCAATTTTTTTCACATTCTTTTTCCTTCCTCCACCTCCATCTCTTGCTCCCTTTCCCATTGGAGAAAACTCCCTACTTCCAATTATATAATCTATCGCTCATTTTGCCATTGTTATTTACAATTTTAGGCAGCACAAAGAATGCACAAGTTACTTTAACCTGTGTTAATGAATCTCCTATTTCAAATGGAAACACAAACATTTCACATAGGATATTTCACTAAATCAATTACATTTATATGTTCAGTAATAGTTTATTAATTAAAGATCAAATGATTATCCATGTGTTGATCACTGGTAGGTCAACAACAAGATGAGTTCAATATATAAATCAATGTAAGCAAAGTTTCAAACACAGATGTCCTTTGTTAAGTATTTTAAGTTTTACATACATAAGCACATCTGTTACCTATATTACATTTATGCTTTCTAAGTTATTAAACAATTCTAAAGGGCTATGTTACCTTGGTATTAATGAATGGTATACAGTTAAACAACTCAAATAATGACAAGGTAGTAAATCTAGGTCAGTTTCAGAGAAAAAGACAGTCTTTTACTATGATGACAGTTGTGTTTTAGTATTTATGTGTATGTGATCATAGCATGTTCACATCACAGACATGAACACTTAAATACTGAGTACTCAAAAAGGTGATCTTAAGGTAACAGAATAGAATGGTAGTTAAACAGAGTCTGGGCACTGTATGTGTTGGAAGGTGACAATTTAGAAAAACTAAACAATTATATTAGAATTGAAGTCAATAAAAGTATTCAATTAGTATTTTTCATAATTTTTGAAATAAAAAAATTTAAAAACTAGCATTACAAATAATAAAGAGAATATAGTTTAAATCAAATGTTTCACATAGTTCAACAGCCTAGTTGGTCATAATTTCTTTTGAAATGCTAAAATGTATCTTTTTATAGGACTGAAAGTCTTATTCAGTGATGTCATCAAAGAGAAATCACACTCAAATGTACTTGGATTTCAGAAAGTAAATATACAAAATATATCACTTCTAATCTACAATTACTGGCCCATAGAGAAGAAAAATGATTTTAATATAATGTTACAACCTCAACTGGAATCTTTCATTTCTAAGACATTATTTGGAAGGCAGCAAAACTTGTACACTTCTGTTTATGTGCTCATGTAATCCATCTTGGTTCCTACACTTTTAATACTTAGTATAAGTGACTCAGATATAGACCAATCAGTTAACTATTCATGATTTTTAAACAAGTGACCTATTTGTATTTTAGACAATGCAAGGTAAAATACTTTTGACCTCATATGTTAAACTTCAAAATATATGGTCAGCATCTTTCTTATTCTCTCATCTTTATTATCATTCATTATCATTTAATAATTGAATGTTTTGAATTTAGTATATTAAACAATTTCAAAATTATTTGAATCAATTTTATTTTATATTTTCCCTAAAAAGATACACTCATGGATCTTGTTTGTGATTTTACTATTGTGATAGTTTATAGTGCAATTTCTATGTACCTATAAGAGCAAGTTTTGCAATATGAATAAAAATACAACCAAGTTTTCAGGTATAAATACATACATCTTTATATATATGAATTAGGGTGAAATAATAGAGAAAGAATTAATATAAAAAAGTATATATTCTTGCTGAGGATATAGGTCAGTGGCACAAGTGTCTATCTGGCAAGGGCAAGGTCCTAAGTTCAATTCTCGGCACGCACGTGTGCACACACACACACACACACACACACACACACACACACACACAGTACATATTCTTTATTTAGCTGCAATACTTGAAGTAACATTTCTAATGCCATTCCAGACCCACCTTGCCAGACGGAGCTCAGCAATATTCCCAAGCGGCAAGGTGTAAAGAAACTCCTGGGTGAGTAATAATTCATTCTTCTGAAGGTTTTATTGCTTACATAAATAACCCCAGGGAAACAACAACATAAAATCAATACTAATCCTACAAAGACAGACTGCACTAAATTTCAACAACAAAATTTATGAACTTTTGGAAAGCCATTAAACTTACTTTTATTACACCTATTGAAAGATATCGTGTCTGCTTTGTTACCCTAATGTAATGTTCATCGTGCAAGTTATTAAGTTAAAAAAGAGATTTAAACAATACTAATGTTAAAACATCAGCAGAAACTTATAACTCTGTCACTCGAAATTTAAGAATTAAAGATTTTATATATTTACGATTATATATGTTATTTCAAGTATATATTTTATAGATGTGTAGAAAACATTGTATTTCAGAATATAAGCTGGCTTTTTTTCCTGTTTAGTGCTTTCCATTAGTATTTTTACTACCTTAAGTTTAGCAAGATGATACAATTCTACGGACAGATAGATAGGAGATAATTGCAAATTTCACCCACAGTCTAGAAATATGTGACTGTTTGACTATTATCAGATCACTGCATTTGATTACTGTATTTGATTATTGTTTGGTCTGGTCAGCATAATTTTAAATAAACTCTTTTAAAAGAACTTTGCAATCAGACCTTAATTCTGCATTTTACCCTTGGAAAAACTACACTTTCCGGAGTGACAAATGTTAAAATGCTAATTTACTTAATTCATCATATAAATCCATGAAATGGAAGCAGCTCCTTATGGAGCTGAGAAGTTTTTTCTCCAGGAATCACTCGCAATATAGTGTGGTAATGGTGAAAATCAACAAGTGTATGTCTTAAGTGCACTGATGATGCACAGTGCATACCTAATGAAAAGTCCTCAACTTACAGAGTATGTGTACGTTTGTGTGTGCCTGTGTGTTCGTTTCACAGGACAATATATTCCCCTGTGTGATGAAGATGGCTACTACAAGCCTACACAATGCCATGGCAGTATTGGGCAGTGCTGGTGTGTTGACAGATACGGAAATGAAGTAATAGGAACCAGAATAAATGGTGTGGCCACCTGTGGTAAGGAGAAAGTTGCTTCTTTATTCAATTTACAAGCTTGAGATTAAGTACTCCAGTGCCTAATTCATTTGTTCAAAAGTGAAGATTCACTCTGTGAAGTCCATACCATATGCAGGCCTAGAAAACTTATTCTTATACATTAAAAAACTTTGGTAATATATTCATATGCCTGCTTTAGATACTTGAGGGAGAATTACTAAAACCTGGGTTGATTTTCTACCTAAGATTTGCTACTTAAACAACTGTTGGATTTTTACTCTTCTCAGATAAGGCAGGCTTTTGTTACTGATTTCAGTGGAAGTCATTGTAAATTAGTGGATGCAGGGCTCCCCCAGAATACCTTTTTTTGTCCAAACCTCCAGGGTGAGTGACTTTTATGAGATATGTAAGCTCACCACTCACTAACCAAGACAAAAAAAAAAAAAAAAAAACTGTCCATAAATTGCAACCATATCAACATATTGCTTACTTTTTATGTTTGAATGAGAAAAATGTAATTTATTTTTAAACTGTACTTATAATTAATACTCCATTTTATAAACATAAATGTCTATTATGTCCCAAAAGAGTAACAGCTAAGTTGAGTATCTCATGTAGACATTTTAAAGTTTCATTGTGGTGTCTTTTGTACTACAGAATTCTCCAGAATGTGAGATTCAAATCAGAACGTTTGTTCTTCCTGTGAAGATTTCTAATTACAAACATTCATGCAAGGCAGAAATTAATGGATTATGATTTGACTAGGAAAAGTGATCAAAACTAAAAATAAAATGCTTAGTTTTGCATTTTAAAAAAACGTTTAAAAATGTATCCTCATGCACTATTGAAATGGACAAAGACTGTTTAGGAAAAGATAAATAGTAAATAAAGATAATCTTTCTCATTCAGTCCCTATTTGAGATACACATTCATTTGTTCCATAAAAGTTTTAAATAACTTGGCTTTATTTTCTAACTTGACCAACATGATTAGCTCTAAACAGGGAAAAAAAGCTAATTTGCATAACTTTAACAGAGACAACATGGCTTTGTAATGTATAATTTATAGTAGTTGCATTATTAATTACTTCAGTTATCTCTGATGTCAGTGATGGATAAAGAATTTTAATTTTTTATGTTGCAAATAAAATTGTAAGGAAATAATTTCAGTAAGTTAACAAGGAAATTATTTCTAAGGGTTTTTTGGCATGTTGTGACTAATAGAGAAAGTTAGAAAGCAGCAATATTTTCTTTGCATATGGATATATCAGTGTACCACCAACAACCATTTTAGACATTGAATTACATTAATAGGTTTCTTATAGTTACCAAAGGATTATAAAATTAAGTATTAGAAACAGTAAAAAAATGAAGATACTACATTTGAGGAGTTGAAAAGTAAGCATATGCTGAGATATGTTTATTAATACCACTAGAAATATACTTTGATGTTTTTTTTTAAAGTATTGACTAGGAATGTTAGTGCTCTGTTGCTATAGTAACAGATTCCCTTTACATAGTGACTTAATCTACTCTTGCAATTCCGAGCATCACAATCAATCATGAGTCTTGCCAAGCTTGACCTCCACATGTCGCAGAGCAGGGCTCACTTGTGAAGGTCCTGGGGCACAATCTGTTCCCCTGCCTCTTCCACCTTCTAGAAGCCACTTGCAATCCCTATGGATACTTTGCTACAACTGAATCCACCAATTTTAGGTCTCTCTGAGAATTTTTTGGGGGGGCTGGGTCTTGATATGTAGTTCAGATTGGCCTTGAATTCACTATGCAGTGTAGGCCGGCCTTGAACTCACATTGGTCCTCTTGCCTCAGCTTCCTGATGGCTGGGATTACAAGCATGGACCACCATGCCCAGTTTTTGACCGTTCTTGTGTGATCATGTTTCCTGAGATTCTATGTGGGAAAGGTGCTTAAATACTATTTTATTTTTTAATATTTTATTAAGCTAATTTGTATAGTTTAGATACACATAATCATATTCATGATAGATAAATTTTACCTGTGTATAATGTCTTGATTCCTTTTCTCCCAATTCCCTCCACTTCCTTCAATTCCTTTACTCCTCCTTATCTACAAAGCTTTATTTTCACTTTCTCCTTCTTTTATCGTTTTTTTCTTTTCCCTTCGTCCCCATTCCATTTCCCTGTCCTTTGAACCACATTTTCCTATTTCACAGTAACCATTGTACCCTTTGATCCCTATTTAAACTGTTGGTTTCTCACAACAGAGAAACTTTGATTTACATATGTGTCATTGATTTATTTCACTTAAGAGTATGGTCTCAAGATGCATTCATTTACCTAGAAATGTGTCATCTTTTTGGCTGAGTACTACTCCACCATATAATTTTTTTTCACTTTCATTTACTTAATGGGCATTTGTTTCGAAGATTTAGCTATCACAAACTGTGCTGCTAAGAGATTAGAAGATTACCAAACTACTCCAAACATACTCAGCCGGTTTATTTTTGACAAAGGGGCTAAACACATTCACTGGAAGAAAAATAGCCTCTTTACTAAATGGTGCTGGAAAACTTGGCTTCCCACGTAAGAAGACCCATGTCTCTTACAATGAACTAAGCTAAAATCTAAATAAATCAAAGATCCAAACATTAAGACAGAAGCACTGAATATCTGGAAGGTAGAATAGGTAGAATAGTTGTAGAACTCTTGAACGCAGAGGTCTACACAAAGATTTCATGAACAAAATCTAAGTTGCACAGGAAACACAACAACTAAGATCTCATCCTATTAAACAGCTTTTGCACTACAAAAGAAATCATCAACATAATGAAAGGTTCTTTGACTTCAATGACTAAGTGACAATTTGGGTCCACGTGTGTAATACAGAATATTCCCTCTAATTCAAGGTCCTTAATGTAATCACAAGAACAAAGTTCTTTCCTAGCTAAAACATGGCATTGGGTTCCAGGGTTTATGAAATAAATATTTAGAAAACCAGTATACACCTGAGAGTTCTGTAGAAGAAATTCTAAATGCTTTGTGTCAGCTGGACATAATTTTTTAAAACTTAGCAGAAATCAATATTAATGAACTAGAAATCTTACATAGTGCAACTCCATAAAGATTCTGCAATGAGCACATACATTTTAACAAATAATAGAGTTTTGTCATGTAACTTTTTTTTAGAAAATGAAGTGAGCTTTTAAAATTTTCATTAAATTAGTTGAATAATGAACTAGAAATGTGATTGATTTCCTCAATTTTCACTAGAGTTTAATATTTCACATAAATTATTCTACTAAAATCTCAATTAAATTTAATATTTACTTTCATTAGCTCTAGATTTTGAGATCTCTGGAGATTTTGCAAGTGGAGACCTCCATGAATGGACTGATGATGAAGACGAAGCAGAAGACATCATGAATGATAAAGAAGAAATTGAAGATGATGATGAAGAGGAAGGGGATGACGACGACGATGGTGATGAACACGATGGATACATTTGATCACTGAGACCTGAAGTCAATGAAGCTTACATTTCTAATATTCACAAAGTGATAGCTTACCGATAATTACCTTCCTGCTATCAAACAAAATGATTCTCAACCTGACATCTATTTTGTATAATTATTTCAAATATTGCAGCTAAAAGTCATAGAACTTTATGTTTAAAAAAGAATAATTTATTCTCAATTTTTATATGCCTTAGAGAAAAAGAAAATACATATGGAAGATAGCCAGACAAAAGAAAGTTGTGAAGAGCTACTACAACAAATTTTTCATAAAAACAAACTTATAAATGTTCTACAAAGTAACAACCAACATTGCTTGGGCTGTTACATTCTGCTTTTATGAAAGATACTTTGAGTTAAATTTATGGTAACTTACATGTGACATGGAACTCAAGAATTTTACAAAGTTATGCATGACTTTAATCACAGATCCAAGTAGCGTCTTCCCAAACATCAGGGTACATGAGAGAGACACCACATAGTTTAAACAAAATGACCATTGTAGAATCCTTATTAATGATGTTTTCTGAATATGATAGGATATTTTGTAAAGTGACAAGTATGAAAAATAATGGATACTGAAAGGTAAACCTTAGTTAACCTTTCTAATTTTTATTTTAATCTGAGTGGCAGTCTCATGTATATTTTTGAATATTCTGAAATAGCATGATTTCTGTATTTCTCTATGCTTCTGACCAGCAATTAAGGAATATGCTTTAAATTACAAGACAGAGAGAAAGATTTATTTCTGCCATATTTTCAATAATGGATTTTCATTTGCCCCACGGTCAAATTTTAAAATATTAATTCTGATTTATTTACTGATCTAGGTAAAATTTGCATTTAATCTTAGAATTATGCCATTTTTGTTAGTAGTGCTGAGATTTAGAGAACGTATTGTACGGTGTCTTGCAAACAATAGAAATAGAAAGGTTTAGCATGCATACCAATATAGGATATTAGGCAATATTTAAGCACACCTAATTAACAAATTAACAGTAAAGGTATTGCAGCTGGAATGAAGAAATTGGAATATGTTTCTTTCTTTTTTTCTATTGTTACATAATTGCCATGTGGACTTGTTTATAATTAATGCATAGAGTGGCATTTAAGATTTACCTGTAGCAAAAATTACTTTAATTGCTATATTTTAGTTAGCATGTTAATTACTTGTGTAGACATTTTGGCACACCATCACTTTTACATATATCAGACCAATGGTTTAGCGCCCATAATAAAAATGGAGACTCTTGTTAAATAACACATAATGCTATCTTTACTTTCAACAGTGAATTAACTGATTTAATGTTATAATAGTCATTGAAAAGCAAAACTGTTGGATTCGTTCCATTTAATTTATAAACACTAAATAAAAACTTTAATGTTGACCTTACATAATATTTCAAGTACAATGCATTTTCTTTTTTACTGTTTATGTATAGTTTAAAAATAAAAAAAAATCTTATAACCAAAGTAAATTGTTCTTAATGATTTTCCTTGGGCATATATATGGTAACATGAATGTTTTTAAACATACTTCTCAGTTTTTAAGATAGAGATATTACTACCTTGGGAAGGGTTTCTGGGTCTTATTTTTCTTATTGAATGTTGTATTTTCAGGTATGATAAAATTATTTTTTTTGCTTTGCCTTAATTTCATGTTTTCCTAATTTGTGAAGTAAATCATTTTCATCCTTGAAGGGATAGCATCTTTTAAAACCATTTCTGTCATATGGTACATAATTTCTTTATCTAAAACTCTAGGAATAGCGTCTTTGTAAAGTATTTAGATAGCACTATCTATTTAATGAATTGAACATTTCTATTTTATTGAAGTATAGCTAGTGAATTGGTTGGGGAAAGACCAAAAGACAAATTCTATACAAAAATTTAACAAATTAATTTAGAGTAATGGATATAGTAGCCTTGAAGTTAAGCAGTTTTTGAAAATTTCACTTTCAATATTCCCAGCAAAGGAACCAACTCAATAGCAAATATTAAACTGAAAATGTAAAAATAATGCATTTTATATAAACTATTTATGTACAACGTATTTGTATGTTTGTATATGAATTGTATTTGTGATATATTTTAGGCCACTTGATCATATTTTAATTCATTTTTGGATATTTTCAGTCAGTGAAATTTTATTTCAGCATTTTTTAACAGTAAATATGAAGATTGGGCATCTGTAGTAAACCAGTTACTACTTAGGGCACAAGAGGCTCATTAGTGAACAATGTAAACATGATGTTAATGCAAAATAGAAGATATTTTCCAAATCCAAACAAAATGCAGTTTCATGTTTCATTGAAATAAATCAAAGATATTTCCTCTATTTAATTTAAATGAATATTGAAGTGTTTTGAAATTCTATGTCTTTAACAAAAATCTTCAAGTATTGTTTTAATTAAAAATAATTCAATTATCCTAATATTTTTCCTCTTTACATTGAATTTTGATTCATAGACATGAAATCACACTAACAGGCTTCATTTCTGTAGTTTTAATTTGAAAAGATACATGCAAGTGAAGAATTAAACAACATTCTGGATCACAGAAAATTATAATTAGAGCAGTGGAGAAAAGAGTAAATTATATACATAAAACACACACTGTTTCTGATGCATCACAATATGTTACATAAATTTATGAATGCTTTATTTTGTGCATATTAGCATAACCATTTGAGTATGCTGCAGAGCATGATGGAAGAAATAAACTACATTTAAAATGAACATAAAGCATTATAATTTTGATCAAAATGATATGTGGCCTGAAGTAAACTCTGTGTTACTGCCAATAATGTACTACAATAAAATTAATCTATTCATTAAGAACAGCCTAAATAATTAATAAAACAGCTGCCAAATGTACTTTATTTTCTATATATACTCTATTTATATAAAGCTAAAAAGTATGTGAAAACAACACATAAGGATCAATCCTGCTGAGAGTTTATTTAGAAAGGGTTTAGAGAAAAATATAAATATTTGTTTCATATGAAATATTTTGATGACTTCTTTCATGTAAAAGAAATGATGCTTCAGTTTCTGAAATAAGTAATCCAGGTCTTTCTACATAAACCAGTTTTCAAGATGTACTAATTGGGGGAAAAGTGTATAACTGAATGAAATCAGCAGAACAAGTTTTGGTAATGTTTGTTTTGCCTGATACATGTGTACATGCATCCATGTACATACATGACAACTTTAATTTTGGGCTTCCAACTTAAAAAATTGAGTTGGTCACATTAATATCTCCTTTCCTTTGTTTATAATGAATTATCTGAGCAATCATAGCATAGATTGCCCAAATGAAGTGAGAAAACTCAAAAATTTAGAATATTGAATGTGGTATAAAGTTATAAATAAATGAAGAGACCCTGTAGCAAACTTTTTTCAACATTGTTTTAAACCTAATAACTAATATCAAGGTGGAAGTAATGAGAGAAAACATTTTAATTCATTGCACACATTTTTATATGAAATAATACCATATTTTCTCCCTTGACATAAAAATTATTTCACTAATTGTATAACTTGGTCTCATAAAGCTTTTTCAATGATTGTGTCAGTGAACAATTTCATGGCAATCTCAGCTTTAGATACATGAGATTGTGTCTCAGAGTTTCTTGGGAAATTCAATCTGAAAGAATCTTTTCACATAAATTTTTTTTTCTGTTCAGTTATGTATTATTTCTTCAATTTTTGTGTTAACTGATACTTCACATAATAATTTCATGTACCTTAATAAAAAATCTTAGCTAGTAAAATTAAGAAAAATCAGTTCATAATAAAACAAGATTAAGGTAACACACAAACAATTAGACGAAAAATTAAATGAAAAGATGAGAAAAACATTCCATAAGCAGTGTGAATGCTCATTAGACACATATTCAACAGACACAGATGCAAGGACATCCTTAAAGAATTTATTTTTAATATATATTTATTAATTGTCATAATGATCTTCAGTAGCACAAGCATATATTTGAACTTAGAGTCTATAGATCTTATCTTTTGCATGTATGTAACATAGCTTAATTTATTATTCCTAGAGGATTTGTTTGACGGCTACATGGAACAAAAATTGAAACTCAGTTCATTATGTCTCTCATCTAGTGGGGATTCATGAAATCTTAATTTTATTCAACACTTTAAAAATAAATCAGCAATAGTTGTCTTAGTTGTCTTATTAAACTCAAGATATGGTGCCCAATTTATCTTCTCTTTTTAGAGCTTTGTTGACATTTATCCACAGATATAATAATAATAATAATAATGCTTTCATATTCTAAATAAGTATAATAAATAATACTCATATTGTAAGGTCAATAGAAAGATAAAATAAATTATTGTGCTCCTGGTGTCTGGAATACAATAAATAGGAAATAAATGCAGTTTTTAGTTTTGTTGGCTCATAGTGCAGTAAAATCACATTAAGAAATTGAAACCTAAATATCTTAGTAAGTTTCCCCAAATTTTCTTAATTTAGGATTAGGTCTAGTTCAAGAGTGCTATTGACCAGTGTTTGTATATACTTGCTACAAGTTTCATACATTAAATTCACCCTGGCATTATTTTTCCTATATTAGAAATAAGGAATCATATAAATCATGTGTTATCATCCTTCCCAGTTCCTTCTTGGTGCATAAAACATTTTCCTTCTGTTCACAGTCAAGTTGAAGCAATGTAACTGAGCTAAAGTAACCAGGATTGTGCTCAACAGTGCAGAGGTCATAACCCTCACCCATTACAAGTGATAGGGATCACCAGGTGACAGAGCCATGACTTTATCCCTTGCCTCCCATTCTCCTGATCATTTCACTACTGTCAGGCTGATATAGGGGAAAGAAACTCCTAACCTGCTAGAGGTCTGGTGAAAGATTCTTGCCTTAGTAGAAATTATGGCAATGGTCTAATGTGGTGGAAGACCAAGGCAAGATCACCTACCACATCTTGCTTTTTCCTCATCCTTAATTGCAACAGGAAGGGTCCTGTTTGTGTGCAAAGAAAATTCCAGTCAGTTCTTTGCATGCCCACCCTAAGCGCCACCCTGGTCAGAGGTTATATATATAGATCCCATACCCCACATCCAGCAGAGGAAGCCAGGCTGCCAGTGGTCAAGGAGTTCTCTCCACATCCTTGTAATAAAGGCCATCTTACTTTATATTCTCTCGTTACGCTGAAAATTTTCATAATGGTGCCATGACTCGCATGGCAGAGTGAGCTGGCTCCTGGGAATACTCCCCAGTTTGAGCCCCCTGCCTAAGAACCACTTTTGTTCCTCAGGGACTGTTCACTGGCACTGCTAATCCTCATGCAACAGTGACCTTCCTCACTTCACACAGGTGAGCTGCCATCTGGGATTTCTGTTTCCGTTGCTTAGGAAGCTTGGGGCAGAAAACATACCCTGCCATCCCAGAACAGGGATACCAGTTTTCATGTTCCTTAGGCTGTATGGCTTGAGGCAAAACTGATATTTTTGTTCCCTGGGAGCCCGTCCCACACTCTTCCAGTGATTGGCCAAGGAGAATGGGTGTTGGGACTTTCCATGACACACTTCCAAAATAAGTGACTATCTCTTTTGTTAAGTGTGACCCAGGACAGCTTCCATGTTCCTTGGGAGAGAGCTAAAGCTCTTATATCCTGAGGAGAAGTTGTTCTCTCAGCTCATTTATAATTTGGTCATGGGGATCACTTCCTGTCCCCTGTAAAACAACCTTGGGACACCTGGTTCATAACCGTGCTGCTCTTGGCCTCTAGAAGGCTATAAAAACCAAAAAGCTGATCTTTTATTTATGTTTTTGTCACAAAGGTGGCAAGCTGGCAGAAATCCTTCATCTTTAGGCGTATTTCACTTTGAGGATGTGTTCTTCTCTTGCTCTGTCTAGTATAATGGCCCAAATACTTCTGGCTCGCTCTGCTCCACCAGGATCTATCCCTCCCTCCTCACCGAACCCCTTTAGATGATACATCTCCTGTCTTTATGGCTCCTCCCTGTATCTCTCATACCAAACCCCATAGACTTCTCAGCCAGAGGTTTCTGTGCCCCCTGCACTGTCCTCTCCCCCTTTCTCACCCACAGTGGCCTCTAATCCTTCCCTTAGTGTCTATCCCTAGTCTCCAACTTCCACCCCCCCTTGAGCTGTCTGTTCCATCTGAGGGTTCTTTGTCCACTTCCCCTGTGTCACCATTTTCTCCAACAGCTCACTATACATGGTCTCTGATGTTCCCACCTTCTGGCAGGCCACATGATTGTCAGCAGCCATATTGCTGCAGCTCACTTGGAGGGAAGCCACCATCTTGTGGCCATCCACCATGTGGCAGGGTGCTGCCATCTTGCGATGGGTCTCACCGTCAATGGCCGCCCCCTTGTGGTTCCTCATGTGATCAGCAGCAGGCATCCTGCTGAGGGTCACATGATGACCAGCCACCACCTTGTGCCCCTTCACTGTGTTACCAGCAGCCACTAGGCTGCTGTGGGTCACACAGTGACCCATCAACAGCCTGCATTTCCTTGTCACATGGTGACAAGTGGCTGTTTTGTAGCCAATCATTGGGTAATTGCCCACACATGTGGCCATCTACTCCACACCTTCTCAGCTTTGATCTCTACTCCCACTTCAAAAACAGGCTGTCCCCAAGGATGCATATACCTTTCTCCCTCTCTGAGCTATCTCAGATTAGCCATAATTTAGGATCCTTTTCTGCTACTCTTATTTCAAGAGATGTCTATTAATTGATCTACAAAAAGTTTCACACCAGTCTATTTATTATAGTTCAAATTTGCCAAATATATTTGAGTACACTCTGATTTTATAACATTTTTCAGTTCATATATCTGTTGTCTGTCCATTTGCCTGCTCTGCAAACATATGTTTCTTTCTATTTGAGCTCAACAATTTTTTTCTTCCTCTTTTACATTTTCAGATCATTTAATCAAGGTTTATTTGGGTTATAGATTTTAAAAATATGCTTCCACCTAGGTTGCCAGCTGGTCAAAATGATGCTAAAATTGGTTAAACAAAATCCTTTGGGGTGAGGAGACATTAGACAAGACTTCAACTGATAAACAAGAAAGTGGTCACCTGGTAACTTTAACCAGCTCTTGTTCATTAATTGGAGGCTCCAATAATTTCCATAGCCTTATGAGAGGCACCTCAACTAAAGTTCATATGACTAAGACAATTCATTGTTGTTGATCTGATGGTATATTCATTCCTTCAAATATAAAATTGAGATTATTTATGATGACAAGTGTTTTCTTTTAGATCCAGATGTCTACATTTTTCTTGTGCTCCAGTGAGGAGATTCAGGTCAGACCAACATGAGGTCACCAGTCAAATGATAATTTTTAAACAAAAACTTATGTAATGCATATATGATACTTAGAGATGCTTAAATAGTGAGCAGTCCAAACAATGTCACAAATTTCTTCAGTGCTCAAATAGTAAAACACCCATGGTTAATAAAAAAATAATAGTTCTATTTAATGTTCTATGTTAAGCTTACTGCCTCTACTGCATTGTATTGTCATCAATATTCTAGATGTTGAACAACTAAAATTAAGTGATTAATTATAAATTCCTTTTGCTGGGATCCTCCAGGTCTTTTTCAGAAAAAAAAGGTTATATGATACATATTGGGGCTATAATTAACTACTCAACTGGTGTGAAATTACACTGTAACTGATCTCTCTCCTAAATAAAAAGGTAAAATTAATAAAACAGGCCATCCTCCAAAAATCAAATGGCATTAGACACTCTAACAACATAAGAGATACTTATACAATTGTAAAACCTAAATGTGTGTATGACAAATAAATGACATGTCAGTTTCTAGAATTTCCTGGACCTTATCCTTATCCTCCTTATGGGAAGCCATTACTAAAGTTATAATCATAAATACCCTGTTAATTATATTATTTCACTCCTGCATAGTTACTTGATTCTTTGCCTTTGTCTCCTTTAGACTTAAAGCTATATACCTAGCCAAGATAAAAACCAGATGTCATGTGATTGTGGAAGAGACAGATAACTTCCACTGTGGACCAGATCCCAAGATAAAAGGCTAAACTTGGCCCTCAAATCCCATAGGGAGATCTTCTTAATATGGCTTTTCATGTCTTCAACAACAGAGATAAAAATCAAATGAAAAATAACAATCTCATCTTTTAGCAGTGACACTTGGAGCTCTGAGACAGGTAAACTGAGACAAGGTGGAGCTGCTTGAGCCCCTCCTAGACCGTGCTTCAAGTATAACAAAAAGGAAATTGGACAAGAGAGTGCCTCAACCCTGACGTTCTTCTGGGGCCTTGCCCCTATTGCAATTTCAAGGGCCATTGGAAGAGTGACTGTCCTAGCCACCAGAGAGTGGGTAATCCATTCTCTATCTCCTTGCCCTCATAAGAGATCTCATCACCATGAGATTTATTGCTGACTGATCTATTTGGACTTGCTGCCAAAGACTGACAGGGCTCTGGGTCCACAGCCCTCTATTAACGTATCCTTCTCAGAGCGCCAAGTCCCACTGGAGGTCTCCAGTAAGACATTCTCTGCACTTGTGGACATAGAGACCATGCATAGTTTCTTCTTGAGTTTTCAGGCCACTATATTAAGTCTTTAGTCTCTATAGTGGGTGTTGATGGCCAACCTATGCAGCCTTTGCAGACAGAGCTTATTCCATGCAGGGTTCCAGGCTCCTTTCTTCTCTGGTTGACCCCATAGTTTGAAACATCTCATCCCACCTGCGCTACCCATGCTATGCCTATTTTAATTTGTCTCAGGGATCCTTCAGTTTTTCTTTGCATTCCCCAATATCTCATAGCTTCCAAACATTTACAGGGACTTAAACCTATAATTAAGCACCTTTTCAACAATGGCTTTCTTAAACCTATCCATTCACCCTGTGATGCTCCCATTCTCCCAGTACTCAAGCCTGATGGGTCTTATCGTCTAGTGCAGGACCTTGGGGTAATCAATAGTGTCATTACCCCAATCCACCCAGTGGTGCCAAACCCTTATACCATGCTCTCTGGAGCTTGCTGGACTGCCATCCTGGTTCACAACACTCAAGCTAAGTGGTGTCCTTCCAGCCCTAAATGTAACCATCCTGAGTGGTCACTTTATTTTCTCTTGCCCACCCTCTGTCTCACAAAGGCCTCTTAGCCACAACTCTCAGGCTAACTCATGCTTTGCTATCCAATTTGGCTCCTAATTCCTTGTATTCTATTAATTGTCTGTTTTATAGCAGGACACTTGACAGTCCTTTCTAAAGACTCCCACATCATACATGAAGTTCATCTTCATGTTGTTCTACATGACAACTATCTTAGTTCTCTCTACCTTCAGCTGTTTAGTCAAATGTGACATCCCTGAGGGCCTAGGTTCTTACCTCCCTTATAGTGACACAGCCATGGCCCTCTCCACCCCTATTATTCTTTCCAGGGCAACCCCTGCACCAGAGACAAGTCCTACCTACCTACACTTTTAACTGTTACCTTTTAAGATGAGGGAATAATCACCCCTCATAACCTCACTCCTCCTAACCCCACACTTATTTTTCAGAATTCTACCTTACCGTGGTCCTGATGGAACAGCATATTTAAATCAAAGGCACCTTCCTTTTACCTGCCCTGGGTCCTTAAATATGATAGTGGCGCCTTGCTCTTTGTTTTTCCAGTCTAAGATGCAGGTATTGACCAATGATGAAGTTGTACTGACTTAAACTGTCGATGTCGCTCCCGGCCTGCAGGAAGAACACGCGACAGATTTTGATAGTGTGTAACCTTGCCTTTATTTGTCTCCACGTGGGCCCCGCGAGGCCTCCTCTCTGCCACCAGCCCTTTCTCGCCGGTGGACTTTCTCTATCCCTCTTTGTGCTTCCTCTCGTGGCGGGAAAGGCATTCACTTTTATAGGGCAACAGTAGCCAATCAGTTTAAAGCGCGCGATGCGGGCTGACTGGCTAACATCAGCTGTTGCTAGGCAGACTATCTTACAGAGCGGGTTGTTTAAGTCGCCAGCACAATCAGGGGGCAGGAAGCAGGCGCCAACTTGACTCACTCGATGGGAGGGGCAATCTAGCTCAGGCTCCGCTCCCACCCACAGGCCCTACGTCCGCCAAGTAAGGCGACCGGTGTAGGCCGAGGCTCCCAACATCTCCCCCTATTTTATTTACTTTGAATGAATGTATGCATCGCAGCCCGCCCTGGATCGAGTGCAGAGGCTTATGCCCTGTGTTGAGGCCCACCGTAGGCCCTTGGCTTGGACCCTGGTCGGCCGTCCCCGGGTCCACCAAGGCCTTGAGACCCTCGTCCTTTTTCCAGGGCCAGGAGTGAACTGGACGGAACCTGGATGCACATAGGCATGCACTCATGCCCCTCCGTGCGATCCCCTTGGAGAGACATCTAGATCTGGGCAGATTCTAGTAATCCAGCGGCTTTCGTGCAGTATGGGGTAGGGCCTGGCTTAGGTCGAGTCGTGCTGGGGAGGCACGCTCTTACCCGTCATTGACTCACCTACCCTGCTGTGTAGTGTCAATAGGGAAGGAGTGCGGAAGACCCGCCACATCTAGACCCGGTCGTAGGCCAGTCGAGCGAGCCATGCGTAAGCCTGGGGGTCATTGTGCCCATCACGGGCTGCTGCCAGGGCCGCATGGGCAACCAGGCGTACTTGACGCCGGGCCGCTGCAAGGCGCCCATTAATAAATGATGTGACCCATCGGAGCAAGCATGGTCCTATAAGTAAGAGCAGAAGCAAGGAGCACAGGGGACCTAACAATGGTAAAATATAGGGGAGCAAGCCATTCCAGGCTCCCCAAAAGGGGTTGTCTTGTAGTTCTTTTCTTCTCTTTTCTAGGTCTTCTTGCAGTTTTTTTAATCGGTCTCGAACGATTCCGGACTTGTTGGCATAAAAGCAGCATCTTTCCTGTAAGGCAATACAGATACCTCCCCTCTCTACAGTGAGTAGATCTAGGCCCCTTCTATTCTGTAGAACAATTTGATCTTGTATCTCCTGAAGGGTTCTCTCAACTATAGACATGTCTTCTATCAATTGCTTGGATAACTGAGTATATTTGGTTAATGAAACTCCTAGGCCCGCAGTCCCGGCGGCCAGGGCTCCAGTTATCCCCAGACCAGCCAAGAGAGGTAAAATCAGTACATCTCTCTTATGTCTTTTTATAAAGGTGTCCACAGCTGGGATGGGCATGGGTTGGTCCCCAGGGACAATACCAATGTCAGGCAACAAGTAAGCTAGGCCACATAGGCCGGTCCAATTACTGGGCAGGTAGGTATAAGCATGACCATTGCCGCAAGCAAATACTTTGCCAAAGGGGGCACATAGCGGCGAGCTACTACTTACATTGGTTATGGACTCACACGAGGCGACTGCCAGCGTTCCAACAACAATATCATAACTATTATTTTGTGGGTACTTTTGGAAACAGGATGCATTAAACTGTCCCATAAACTGGACCCGAAATGGAGGCCCATGTGAGCAATTATAGGGTGTGCTATAATTGTAAGGTTCACTTTCATAGTCTCTAAACGGCATGGCTAGCGGCCATGATTCTCCCATCATCATACACAGCCAACAATCGGAGGCCAGCCCTGGGTCAGTAAGATTGAGTGCTTTGTGGGTAGCCTCTAATATGGATTCAGTAGCGGGGTCAAGGTTAATGCCTCGGGATTTTGGGCGTAGGAGTGGATGGTAATTGACTTCAGGGAACGGATTTAATTGTTCCCATCGCTCGATGACCTGTTCCTGCCGGTACTGGTCTTGGACCCCTCCACCGTCAGAGATGTGAACGGGAGCGGTCATAGACCAACAGACCGTTTCTCCAACCTCTCCATTACAACCCGACTGCATGAATGGAGAACTGCCTACAGCAGCGGGAATATGGTTAGGGGCAACAGGGCTTTTAGTTGTAGTTAGCGTTGCCATCCAATAGGTTGTACTCTTAAGTTTGCATTGTTTTGTCTCTGCATAGCATGTAACATGCATGGATTCCTCAAACTTAGTGCAGGGACATGTGGCGAGATCACCAGGCCCTGAGGGACTCACCTTAGGCTTAAGTATGCACTGATAGGATGGTTGACTAAATCCTCCTGCAGTGGAGGGGTACACAACTGAGAATGCTGTTTTATCCCCACAATCGGTCCCTGGTCCTTTTTTGGCGCTAGGTGGTATACTGCTTACCGTGCCACCTCCGCAATCGCACGGACTGCCAAGAAGGCTCGTGCGAAGATCTATTCCAGAAGCGGGGCCCCCCAGCCCCGCATGTACCATACTTATCCTGAGGAGTGCTAGGACAACGCCCCCAACGAAAAAAGCAGCCTTTTTCGGGTTTATCTGGCTGTCAGGCCTGCTGCTGGTCTCCGGCAGGACAGGATTAGTCTTCAGTCGAAGGGCTTGTCGCACGCGTCAGTCTTTCTGGGACCCACAATGGTTCTCGTCCCGGTTCCTGCGGGAAAACACAAACCGCACCTCGGTTCCAGCTGACTACCGGATCCGGGCCCATCCATTGTCCCGTCAGGACATCTTTCCATTTTACCCATCCCTTATTGCTAGGAGATGGATTACAATGCTCCATAGCCGGGGGGTGGTTGTTATTGTTCAGGTTTAAAAAATTGTATGTGAATAGTGCCATGGATAGCCGTGCCTTTGGGGGCAGGCCCTGGCCTACTCCCCCTTTTTGTTTACATAAGATTTCTTTGAGGCTTTTATGAGCTCTTTCAATAATTCCTTGGCCTTGAGGATTATATAGGATACCATGTTTTAAGTGTACTTCCATAGTCTTACAGAACTCATTGAAGGCTTTTCCTGTATAGGCTGGTCCGTTGTC